TGTCGACTGGAAGCTGCTGTGTGTGTTGAGAGAAGGCATGTCTTCTTTTCACCATCTATTCGAAAAGCTTTTGCTTTATGCTTAAATGTCTCTAAATGCTGAGAAACAGAGTACTTCTCATAGTGTATCGATTTTTCACAGACTTTGCAAAAGAGCACTTCCTCATCTGTTGACAAAACATCACCAAATTCTGTAATTGCAAAGTTTTTGTTTAAGGGAAGCCTTTGTTTCGGGCAGTGTTTATGCGGGTGTATCAACTTCCGTCTTTGAAAGAGAACTAATCGTTTCACCCCTGTCAGTGTAACCCGTGATTATGACAGCTGACAAACCTTGGATTATTAATGACGCTTCACTGAGCAAAATAGGTATAGTGAGCCAGGAATAGGAATACAGTATATTGTAAAAAAAAAAAAAAAAAAAAAACTTTCTCCCATAGAATCGTACGAATCGTAGGGAAATAATTTTTTCACCTTTTTTTACAAATAACAGACAAAACACTAAAATAAGGCATTATAGGCATAATTCAATGAAATAGGCAATATTTCACTCACATGACAAAAAAGGGCAAATATAGGCATATACAGGCCTGTATGGCATTTTGCCTGAACATCCGGGATCTAGTGATAATGAACTTCTTGACCCTGACCTTTGCGCATCGTTCAGGAGACAAACCGGTGTTTGTGAAGGGGGGGAGGGGGGCTGAGGAAATCCCGTTATGCCACATAATTGGTGGATTAACAAGCTGGCAAGGCGGTCATTGGGCGGGTCATTGTGAGTGTCCTTTAAGGGAAGGCTGAGGCCCACTGCTTGTGTAGGCTGGCGGAGCGGGCAGGGCGGCCTACCCGACGTGGAACAAACGGGATTACTGAGGCACTGAATGAGACAACCTGGAACTTCCTGTGGCAGGAGAAGGATGACACAAAAGACGCCGAGATGGAGGCATTTACGATGTAAGGAAGAAGTTACACAACCCGGGGGTGCGACGCTTTACTGTACACAACATTTATAACACACACACACACACACACACACGTGTATTATCCTCTAGAAGTCTAGATAAAATAATTCACACATTAGATGTTAAGAATGCGTTAAATATGCCTATCGTAGGAAAAAAACAAGTGTTATTATCTTGTATACAAACTAAAACACAAACGTCTTGGAAACAAGAAGTGTGGCTTGTTAACACCAGAGATTTGATATCATTTAACATAACAAACGAGGAGTTGTATTATACCCAGCGTCGAGGATAAACGTGCCCTGGGAGACCAACGCTAATACACTCTGTATACACTGGTGATCGAGACGCTGACGGATGTGAATTCTTGACAATATCAGTGACTGCACAAATTAAAGACAAATTTAGTAGGACCAGTGTCTGTGGGGGCTGTTCATAGACAGACAAATGCGTCTCATCCACTAGACTACAGGGTATATAGAAAATACACGTCATAAAAAACTCATAGTTATCAAGTCCCAATTACTTGTTATTAAATTCTTTATTCAGAAACAATAGTACGAGTATAGAGATTTCCAACAATCATAAAGGTGATGCCTTATCTTGGATATACAGTATATATATGCTGGAATAATTATCACCGCCTTATCATACCCCTGAATGATTAAAAATATAATAATGTCACTGGCTGGGAAAGCTGCATCCGTGTTCAACAAGATCCGTCATATTTGCACAGAAATACAGCGTCCCCAGCCAGTGACAGTATCTATGGTAGTCATCCAGGGCTATGACAGGCGGTACTTACACACTTGTGGCTTATCTGCGTATGTCAACAGCAGGGCAACACACGGAAATAACATCATCGTGAGTACTGCTGATAACTTCATCAACATAAGTGTTTTCCTTGAAGTCCTTACCCGTCTCTCTTACTGCAGAAGTCATATTGAGTACAAAAATTATGTCTGGAAAATAGAAGCGTGTGCGTACCCAGAAAAAGACAGCCCTGGCGAGTGTACATACAAACGGACAATATGGTGTGTAGGCAGAAAACGGAAGCTATGTTTAGTGTAGACATAAAACGGAAGCTATATTTACTGTAGACATAAAACGGAAGCTATATTTAGTATAGACAGAAAACGGAAACTATATCATGTAGACAGAAAACGGAAGCCATAATATGTAGACAGAAGACGGAAACTATGGGTGAGTGTGCAAAGAAAACGGAAACTATGCCGTTAAGTTATTTATTTAGCGGATCAGCTGGTCGAGCGCCCGCCCAGGCCAGGAAGGATTTAGAGGGCTCCACACATAAAAAACTGAGGCTAGATAAAAAGGATATCTGGTTGAAATACTACACTAGGAGGAAGCTGGAGCCCCGCCTGGTGCAGAGCAGGTTGTAGCCAGGCTGATGTAGTGTTGTGTGTGTAGTGGTACTGATGGTGTAGTGGTGCTGATGGTGTAGTGGTGCCGATGATGTAATGGTGCTATAGTGGTACTGATGGTGTAGTGGTGCTGATGGTGTAGTGGTACTGATCGTGTAGTGGTGCTGATGGCACAGTGGTGGTATACAGGTGCTAATGGTGTAGTTGTGGTGTAGTGGTTCTGATGGTGTAGTGGTACTGATGGTGTAATGGTGTTGATTGTGTAATGGTGCTATAGTGGTACTGATGGTATGGTGGTACTGATGGTATAGTGGTGCTGTAGTGGTACTGATGGTGTAGTGGTGCTGATGGCGCAGTGGCGGTATACAGGTGCTAATGGTGTAGTTGTGGTGCTGATGGTGTAATGGTGTAATGTTTATCTGTATTCATTATTGATTTCTTAAACAACTGTAGGATTGCTTGGGATCAGGTCGGTCACAGCTTCAGTAGTGGGCATTCTGAGATGACCTCATTTGACCTAACCTCATTGATGTGACCTCCACTTTCTCCACATCTCTCCCTCTCCCTCCTTTTTCCTAACAACCTCTTCCTGTTCTTCACTCGTTGCCCCCCCTCTCCTCCCATCCTCTCTTTCCATAATACTCCTTTCCCTCACAACATCCTCACCTCTTCCTTACCTTCCCTCAAACCTCCCGCCCCCTAACCTCCCCACAATATCCCCCGCCCCACCTCCACCCCCACAACCTCTCCCTCATTATCTACCCTCACTTCCTCTCTTCTTTTAGGGAGGGTAAGTGGGACTCTTCCTCTCCTCACCCTCTCCATCTTCCCTCCACCCACTCCACATCCTCCCTTCACCCCTTCCACACCACAGTACTACTACTACTTTACTGTCACTCGGAATCGTGTATGACGATCATCCAGCTATGAGACAATGATATGAGTTATTAAGGAAGTCACCTTCGTTGGTGAGTTTTAAGGTGACTAAAGAGGCCGATACGGGACCGGCAGGGTCGTTCACAGATGTTGCCTTCCACACACTCATACACACATCCTACCTCCATCCCCTTCCACATCCTCCCTTCTGCCAGTTTTGAGGGCCGGATTCTCCCCTCCCTCCCTCCCTCACCCCCTCAACCATGTATACCCTCACAGGATCCAGTGTAAAAACTCCGCCACGACCATCCTGCCTCAACACCCAGACACCACCACCACCACCATTAGCACGTCCACTTACCTGAAACCCGGAGTATCTTTCCCACAGATTGTTCACTCTAAGACGGAGTATATTTTGAAGTTTGTTATTGAAATGATTTTTAGTCGTCGTGGTTTCTGAGTCTTAATTGCTTTTAGTCCCATTTGGGTTTGGGCCCACCAGAAGTAGCGCCCCATTATACCTGGGGTCCAGTTAGCACTGGGGCCAACTAGGAATGAGACCCAGGTTCAAAAACCACTGAGGTATAAATCTTGAAAACACACACACATTGTGGTTATACTTGGATCACGCGCACCTACAGTGATTTACTTGCATATATATATATATATATATATATATATATATATATATATATATATATATATATATATATATATATATATATATATATATATGTATTGACAACTATGTAATATAAATATCGTAAAACAACGAAGTGAAGGCCACAAAGTAAACGTAACTAATTTTTCGTCCATCAGTACGAACTCTAGAAAATTTGACCCTAAGTGACATCCGGTGGCCCAAGGAGAAACTATCAAGGGCGAGGCGCTGCACTCCCACCTTTCCGTCCAGGGACGCAGGTTTCACATCTGCCTGGCTCAGTAAAGACTTTAGCTGTTGCGGTCGTCTCTTGGGATATTCACCTTAAATGTCAAGTATACAAGGCCGTAATATATATATATATATATATATATATATATATATATATATATATATATATATATTGCGGCAATTTCATCATAACTGGCGCAACATGTAAACATGTTAAACAGTGAACAAACTAATTTGAAATGCATATTAATCATAAAATTGACGGGAGATACACACTATGAAGAGAGAGAGAGAGAGAGAGAGAGAGAGAGAGAGAGGTGGGTACCCGCCTCTAGTTGGATGTGATAAGGAAACCCCTTGTCTTAGAGAAGAGAAGAGGTAAGAGCTATTCTTTATCTTTAATAACTAAGATATTTAGTAACATCTACCACGAGACTAAAGGATTAACCTCATCAGCGCCTTTGAATGTTAATGATGATCTAATTTGTTAAAAGACCTGTGACTTTTACAGAAATCCTGATTGGTTTTTTAACATTATTCATTAACATACAAGTTATCAGGAACTGATAACCTAAATTTGTAGCCAAAATACAGCAGCAATAAAATTCAAATGTAAGTACAGCACCGGCGTCTCAGGAATTTTCTACATTATGTTGTCAAACACCGTGGTCAGTGGCTAAGAAAGTGAGATTCACATCATATCAGGATGCATTAAGAAAGCATGCTAATATATTATGTTTATGTATAAAATAGAGATAATGAATTGTGGCAATACTCCCAAGGAGGATCTGGCAAGTATGTTGTGAAACAGCTGCTGAGCCCGCCTCCAGACCCTGAGACCCGAGTCCCGATACAGCCACCCTGTATTATCTCAGCCAGTGTGCGTTGGGGTGACGAGGAGAGTACATGTCTGGTCCTCGCTCTCGACGCAACCAACTGCTCTTGCTCATATGTGCAACGGGTTCATACCCATCCTGGATTATATTAAATAACTTATCCAAGTGTGTGACAACTGACTGTTAGTGTAACGAACTTATGCATAATTATTATCAGTGACTTGTCAGTGGTAAAGCAGTGTATTTAAATGTGCAGGACTTTGGTTTTTAAGTTTGTGTCAACTGTTCGGCCACCACCGTCAGACTGTTCCTTACAAGTTCTTGAAGTTACACCTTCACCACGTGCTGCCTGCAATTATCATCGTGACGAATTTTAAGTAAAGAGACGGCGCATGTAATACGGAACTCTGCTCTTGTTCAAAAGTTGAACCAGAGTTGAATTTAGTGCCAAGTCCTTTATACCGGAAGAGTTGAAGATGGAGGAGTTGTATTGTTCTGAAGCCCCAGCATGTTCAGACGAACCCATAGCTCACGAGGACCCCACACTGCTCAACGACAGACGTGTTCTCGACAACATGCTGCAACTCCAGCCTTTCTCAATGCCTCCTCAAAACTACTTCAAACACATACAGAATGACATCCAACCCTTCATGCGCAAAATCGTCACGGGATGGATGATGGAAGTGAGTAAGAATGAATTGTATAACCATATATATTCAATCCCTGTAAACACAGTGCAGATGCTCAAAATAATAACACCATTGTATCTTGGAATCGTGGTCCACCAGCGAACAGGAAAACATAATGACCACAGCTACCCCACAGCTCCCGTATTAAAGAGCTAAACAGCGAACTGAAAGGCACAGTGTTCATTGCCGTCTACCTGTTAACATGTTGACTTTGTCCCCAACACCAGTGGTTAGACTTGATTTTCCGCAGGAGGCCAAGAATATAAGGTAGCAGTCGCAAATCGAGAGTATGAGGAACTTACGTGTCAAAATTCGTCCTTATTAGCTTCCTGTCTTGTTAAATGTGTCGCTGGATGGCACGTGCTTGAAGACATACGGTATAAGTAATGTAGGCCGTAGAACACCACATTATTGTGTATATTGATGGTTTTCCACACTAGTGCATCGTAAACATCATATTAGTGTTTACATAATGTTGTTGAATATTTATATTTTGACAGACTAGGAAGCGTTTATGGGCACACGGAATCAGTTTTGAGTGGGTTATGCTGGTTAACTATTATGTATAACGAATGGCTTGTCGCTTTATTTTAACTACAGTTCATATGAAGTGTACTAGTGTATTGATGTACAGTAAGCAGGTACTTCACTATTGATTCGTTCAACGGAAAAAAAATTATCAGCATTAACGTCAGTAACAAAAAGTTTTGGGCCATAAGTTCAGTAATTTGTGCAAGTAGATTAAGAGTAAAATAAATCCAGGAACAGTGAGAGTAATTCAACAGTTATGATTAGCACAGACGGATTAGAGGCCTTGTTACACTATAATTTTTCAAGAGCATCTCACTACGTGTTTTACCACTTCACAAAGTCTCGCCGTAACCATTGTATCGTAGATTTAAATCTCATGTTCAGAGTCCTTAAGACAGGAAATGCCGGTAACATGACACTTGCAGGACAGTGTTCCCGGACCCACTCGCTCCACCTCCCTGCTTGCCTATCATCACCCCTCTGATCAAACTTCCTCTGTTACGCTGACCGAAAGCCTTTAACATTATGTCATCTTTTAAGGTTAATTTTAGATATAAAATCAATGCATCCTTTCCTCCAATAACTGTATTAGGGAAAGTGGTGCCCCCTCAAGACCCTCCCCTCCACCTCCCAGGAGTGGCCAGGCAGACGGGGAACAGGCTGGCCCGCCAGGGGTTGACCACACATTAATTGTCCACACACTGCCCTGACCACATCCTGCAAATCTCAGCTCAGTGTCCCAGAGCAAAGATTCTTAACACTGGTACGTTTTAAAAGAACATGAATGTTGGTGGTAATGGAGAGACGGAAGTGGACCTTTGTATTTGCTTGTTAACAAACCGGTGTATTACAATAAAAAGTACAGCCACTTAAGATAACGAAGTGGTGCTGGGATAGACATGCACTGATCATATTTGAAGACTCGTTCATTCATAATGAAAGAGGAACCCCCCATCCTTCCTGGGTTACCTTGTGTCCCAGACCCCCAACCAACATGGCCTTCTCTGTTTCTCAATACAAGTGACAGACCCAATATTTGTCAAAGTCGCGGTCATCGCCTAGGCCTAGTATTACGTAGGCCTATACAATGCACAGCTTCCTTCTTTTTCTCGGGGCACTCTGTTCTTAAAAGAAACGGAATCATTTTAAATTTTATGGATTCACTTTGACCGGTTTTGTGAATAGGTCTAAACCATGTGTTTGGCCATGGGTTTGAGACTGTTACCGGAACAATGGCGTCTCAGGCCTAGGGAAGCGGAACTAATTACTGAACCCAAAATTTTTGACCGTATTTCATGAAGTTCAAGTAGTATACGTTCCTCGTGTATTTCATACATTAAGGTGAGAACACCAATCAAAGTCACTCCGCAAACAGGTTTCAGGGGCCAGTTTTAGCAACAGAAATTAGTTTTAAACCACGTGCTTCCAGCCTCGAAGTCCGTCTCGAGTGAGAGAGAAAAGTACTCAGGGAACCTCTCTCACGGTTTCTTAAGTAATGTTGTATAGGGCGAGCTCTTATAAATGGGTGTGTAACTGCTGTCATGACAACCGTAGGAAGCCTGTCTGCTAGACACACCACAACAGCATTACGGATCCAATTAGAACATGTTTGGCGAGTAGAAAATGCGCCTTAAATTTCTGCTTTTTAAATGCCTTCGAGATTTAGGTCATTTGCCTCTTATACAGCTGCCGCTGTTTGATGGCGTTAAGTCGTAAACTCCACCGTCAAGGCTTCTGCGGTTTTGGTACTTGGGTACAAGAGCCATAAGGACGATAATTAAATATGTCGGGTGTGAATGTATGGCCGCGCAGGTCTACCATAGTGACCTCAGAAGTTGGTGGTTCACGTGGTTCCAGCCCCGTTAGTATGGAAACTTGATAATAAATGAAGATTACTAGCACTTGCATGGGTAAAACATGAACCAATATAGAAAATCTAATATAAAGAAGATCAGGATCAGTTTTTATTTGTTTGATAGAATATATAGAGCTGGAGAGGTTGTAATTTAGGAGGATTTGTCTTAGCCGCTAACTATGGGAACCCTTGAGCCTGGCTGGGCTGCCTCATGTCCTTTGGAGATTTTCTTTGTATTTTTCTAGGAAGTATCAGTTTCATCGCTTTCTAGGTCGACCTGAGGCTTTTGGCACCAATGATATCTTAGCCAGAAGGGGGGGGGGGCGGTGATGTTCAAATATTTAGGGAGAATATTTTATACGCACAAAGGAAATTGAAAATAGGTCATGCAGTAGTGGTGGTGTGTATGTCTGTCAGCCAGCCTCCACCAGGGGGTGCACCACTGTGGTAGTTGTGTACCTTGACCTGTCTTCTTTCATTGTCATAAGATCTTGTCAATTTAAATTAAGTTGCCAGGTTGTGCAAAACTTGTGGTGGTGTGTACCGGTACTGACCAGAATACGTCTACCCTCATCCGTCTTCTAGGGATACTATACTTTGGGAGAAAATCACTCGACGACAGACTCGGGGATATGAAGTGTCACAACACATGACTGAGTCATAAATTGATGGGTGAGAGTAGTGACCAGCGGGGGTTACCTCGACCCCCCTCCCTCGGCACCTTACTGTACTGTACGTTAAGAGCAGGTTATAATGAAACCGATCTTTTTACCCAATGCCTTACAATAACCCAAAATAGTTAGTAAGTGACCTGCGTGTCAACAACACTAAACACAAATGTGTTCTTGTTTTCTTACAGATTTGTGAAGAACAGGCGTGTGAGGACCAAGTGTTCGCCACAGCTATCAACTTTTTTGATCGGTTCCTCTGCGTGTGTGTGATACAGAAAACCCAGCTGCAGCTAGTGGGAGCTGTCTGTCTCCTGCTGGCGTCCAAGCTGCGCCAGTGCCGACCCCTCTCAGCCGAACACCTCGCTTACTATACAGAGTACTCCGTCAGTGTAGAGGAGATAAAGGTACGTCATGAGACATTCACCTTTTCGATATTACATAAATCACTGCATGACCTGTTGTGTGTGTGTGTGTGTGTGTGTGTGTGTGTGTGTGTTTTGTGTTTTGTGTGTGTAAATGAAACTTAACAAGTCACTCATCACAGTTCCAACTATCGAGGCTTATCGTCATCATGTTGTCCAAATTGGGGCGAATCATGAAGTAAGCCTAACGCTGTCATCCATTATGGCCAGACATCCGGATGCCTAAGTCTCACACCCTCACTTTCCCTGTACCAAGGTTCATTCTACTCCTTACCATTACATTAAGTTGAAGCTGCAGGAGTTGGTTGACTAAGGTCGCTGGGTGTTCACTCTGGGAGGGGGGGGGGGCTGCAGGGAGGCCTACCCAACCATCCATGGGAACTTGGAGAGATTTTGGAAAGGAGCTTAACCACACGACTCATTTTTTGTATGGTGGATGTCTTGACTTAGGCGTTTTTTGTTTGTTATGTTAGTGTGAGGAATGTCATTTTTTTGTCATATGCTTGGCCACCAGAGTGAAGATGGGCTCGATAAATGACTGCCGGGATTTGATTTTATCCCATAACCCATCTGTAGGTGCAGAGCTAATTCTGACAACATCAAGCACAAGACCGTCGTCTGTAGCAGAATAGGATTTGTGACTAGAGGAGCAGGCTATCCGCAAGCTGCCTTCACCCCCCCCCCTTCTCTCTCTTTCCCCCAGGAGTGAGGGTAACATAATCGGCTCCTCTCCTCTCCTCGTTGAAGTTCTGACGTGTGTCATTTGGAAGCAAGATGGAATGGCGAGGGAGTTATGAAATAGTAGTGTGAAGACGAGATGGGGTGCAAAGAGAGGGGGGGGGGGAGGTGTTGGATGGGGGAGAACACGGGGGTTGGGGAAGGGAGAGGCTGTCAATAAGTCGTCATATCAGGTTCCATACGTGATGTGTTTAGGAATATCGAGAGACTTTGTTTCGATATTTGTAAATGCAGGACAATTTCCTTGGCAAGTTTTTAAATTGTTTTATTTATTTGTATGATGTTAGCGCTGCCATTCTCGTGGATAGTCTGGGGTGTAGTCGTCGATTCTTTGTGTAGATTACCTTCAGCCTGTCGAGGCTGGACCCGTCCGTTCGGGTTTAGAGGAAATATGGTGGTTGCGTGACCATGCCTAATGGGTTTAACTTAGTTGACCTATTAGTGTGGACAGTCCGTGTGACCAGGTTGGGCGGAGATCACCTGGAGATGGAGTCTATGGTTCTTATTGATATGAAGCGCAGGTGTTGGGCCCGGGGATAACTTACCCGATATTCAGTCATTATTCCGCGCCTTTGAACCGCATACAGTAGATGAGGTTCTCCGTTATTAGTTTTGCCATTCAAGATTTTTCACTAATCAAGTGTGAATGCATATCTTTGTCGCCAATACCATGACTGTGATAACCTTCAAAATTTATTGTCTCATACGCGAGTAAAAAAAAATAAAAATAAATGGCTAGGGTTACCGACCGTGTTTTTTTTTTTTGCACACCCGGTACGCTCATGAGGCCTAGGAGGGGCAAAACAATGCTATCGGGCAGTAAAATCGGTTACTTTATGGCAGCTGAAGCGCCACACCGCTGAGCGTCTAACAACGCACTAGTTGGAGGGAGGGAAGGTGAGAATTTTATTTGGGACTTTTCTCGTCGTGCCTCGGTGGGGCTGCCCCTAGTAAGGATACCTAAGATCGAGTGCTTTCACAGACGGCTAAAGCTTGTGCACGTATAAGTATATGACAGCCGTGAGATGGTGGTTACACCTGAGTGAGGAGGCTGGCGGGTGGTGGCATGCATCACTGATGACTAAATTTATGGGAGGTGAATGAGGGTTGTGATGCATCCAGTTTAATGATCATCACTCGTCTGCCTTATGCCTACCACGTGCCACTAAGATCCATCAATTAACAGTAACTGGGTAATTACCAGCAGCATCAGTTACCAGCCCCGAGTGTTGTGATCGTGAGGGTAATGCTACGCCACTCAGTGTAGAGTAGTTTTATCTTTTTGTCTTCCGGAACACCACACAGTAAGTCACCACACAGTAAGCCACCATACAGTAGGTCACCACACAGTAAGTCACCACACAGTGTCACCATACTGTTTCCAGAATTATGGAGCTTTGGCAGAATTGTTTATGTAAGAGAGTTTATGTCTAAGTGTGTGTGAGAGGGGCACGTGTAGGACGGCTATGTGTCGCTGCCGCGCGTGTCCTCGTAATTGTTATGACCCGCCCATCACACCAACTTGTAAAGTCACGTTGTTATTTAGTCTTGTATTTGACTTTTTAACTTCTACCAAAAATTAACTTTTCACTTGAAATTACAAACCATAGTGTGTGCCTGCGGTCGTAAGGTAGAAAAGTGGAAAGTTTTTGCAATTTACTAATTATATTTCGGGTAATTTTCCCAGGCGATATCGATTAGAGGGTGTGGAACAATGCCGCCGGCTGGCCCGAGCGCGCCAAATAGCTCTGCACTGGGACCACCATTGATTAATGATAAGCCGATGCGGCGCCATTACTGTTGGACCATCACCTGCTTGGCGATGCCTCTAGCAACTAATTCCCCTGCGCGTGTGCTTGAGATACTAAGGAAGCATAACTCGCTATGGACATTCCTTCTTGTTGTGAGAACTCCCGTAGCGGTTCTCCAATGCTTCTTGAAACCTGGTGGGGAGGGACGGTGGCCCCCCACAGACCTAAGATGAGTTCAATAATACTTATGAGTGATCCGATTAAAATCGACTGTTTGGCAGCCATTTTTCCTTCAAAGAATTTCCATAAACAATATCAGTGTGTTCACTACTGAATAGGCGTGATCCGATTATTTTAACCAGGGGATTAGGGGTCCCACTGAATAGGCATGATCCGAGTATTTTAACGAAAGGGTTGTGGACATGTTAGTCTTTAAGCGAACACATTCACGCGGCACCTAGTTATATCAGTGTTCTTTATGACATCAAACTGTGTAGTAAAATTATACAACACGCGTGACTTAACAGCCCGAGCTTCAACTATCACAAATAATGGTTTATCGTGTCCCCTGCCGAGGCATTTTGGCGCCAAACCGCACAACGCTCGGGATAACTTTGTATGGGAATGACGCAGAAGTGTGAGCTCATGCTTCACTCTACACACCCGCTTGTGCTGCACTAACTGTAAACGTCGTGTCTAGTTTATCGTTCTCGAGTTATCGTCTGTAAATTTAAGATATTTACTTGGCTGTAAAATTAGATATCCATTAATCTTGTTCAAACACCGATCAATACATAAGGTTCGGTTTCTACCACACGTGCCTGTCTCAAGCGTCGCATAACGCTCATCACCAATGGCATAAGTTGGAGTGCCTTCCCTGGCGGGCACTTGACATTCTCTGGTTCTGGCTGCAGTCGTCGGGTTAGCCCCTTCCTGAAGATGATAACCTTCATGCGTCACCTTGCTGTTATCTCCCCCAGAATCCATATTTTAAATTTATGTGACTTATTTATTTGCATGGGAGGTGATAATAGAAGAGGAATTGGGTCTGGTAGTGTGTGGGGCCGGATATTGGAGCCATAACACGTAAAACATGTGTGGGCGGCGTGACCAATGACCCCTGAGAGGGACTAACAGCAGACAGGGTCGGGTCAGCGCCCCGGTATGCCTAACTGTCTCCGTAACTGACACTAGTGATTTCCGGGGTCGCCCGTGTGTGGCTACGCCTCACACCTCCCTCCCTCCTCCACCCTACACTGTCGCAAAAACTTGAGCCGAAGAAAGATTTACAGCAGATCCTAGTGAACGTCGGTGACGCGGCGAAGGCTTTGTTAGTCTGGTTAGTGCGATCACACACTCTTAGAAAAATTCACTCACACTGAATTTTGTGTGTACGTGAAAGCAATAATTCATGGATTTCACGTTTGCCTTGCAAGCGCTGCATTTGTACTCCTCAGCAGTGTGGCGCTGAGGGGACTGGAAACCTTGTGCCTATACTAATACCTTTTCCTCCCTCACCCCAAACACACTCCCATCCATATCTCTTTAAGTGTTTTTGTAAAGTGTACCGTAGAAGTTGAATAGAAATATGAAATCGTGTACTATGTAGAAACTTTTTCACACATTTTATACTACATCGTGGCACAAGGGACACCGGGATTTGTTCCTCACCTGCGTGTTATGTAAGTTGATGTGCAACTCCCCCTCCCTCCCCCTGCTCCAAGCCAGCAAAGCGTTCGCTTTGTTTATAGCTTATGGTGTGTTACTGTTGTCGTCCATTTGTTTTTATTGGTAAGTTGAGACGCTGGTACTCAGTAAGTTAGCTGCGATTGTGAAGGGAGGAAGGAATAGTCTGAGCTGAGCCGTGAAAGCACTGGAAATTGTGGTGGTGACGTTGGCGAGGTTGTTAGTGAAGGCTGTCACACCACGTTATGTCACCAGAGCCTCAACACCTAGCCGGAGGATGATAATCAATTGGCGCTCATAGCGTTTAATAATTGAAAACTGGCTCCTTAAGGTTCCTCATGACAGGGTCTTTTGGGTAGTCTCTCGAGCGCGCCACTCCAATTACTTGTGGCCAACACAACTCTGCCTTAGATAATTGTCCGACACGTGCTTCACCACAAGATACACCCGTCACACACTCACCCACCCGTCACACCCACCTACACACCACCACACAGCCTCATTCGTCACTCACCTTTTCCAATACACGCCGTCACCGATACTCGCATGCCTACCACACCTGACGATCCAGAATTTAGAAAAATTAAAACATTTTCCCGCAGTTTTTCGGAGTTGGCATTGTGTAAGTGTCTCAGGAGGCTAGTTTGGAAACCACGTATGTATGACGACAATCACCAGTCCACCCGATTGAGACCCACACTATATACCCGTAGCCGCCCCCATCCTCCACACCTTGGTTTCCCGAGTGTGAATGCCACCGTGTATGCTCTTGCGGTACCCCCTGTGGTACCCCCTGGTATCCTCCTC